GCGTGTCTTTAAAAAGAAAAGTAAAAATCAAATGTTGCAACTTACACTGGAAACTTGCTATTAAAGCTCCACAAAGTTCACATATTCATATATTTTTATGTTTTTTGTGGATGTTTGATTTCTCAGAATACCCCCCCCCCCCTCCAGTCAACGTGAAGTTTAGATTTGAAGCACAGTGGAAAGAAACACCGCAAAAGAAACAATCATCCAGGGTTTGTTTTTTGCTGTTTTGCTCCACTCCAGTCTGGATTTTTTTACTAGGGACCGTCATTTTTTCCACAGTTTTCCCCGACAGCAGATGTTTTTATGGGACAGACTGTGAGGGGTGTAAACCCACCAGCAGGCTGAGCTTCCACCCCCACAGCTCCGTTTGTTCACATCCCTGTGACAGCTGAGGGCCCGGGCGGAGCCTGAGGTTCCCACGGCCCCTGGGCAGATACACACTGGTCACAACCATTTATAGTACATCCTTTAAAAAATCTGTTCACTTTTAAATGTTAAAATGTTGTGGCTAATGTCCAAAACAAGTTGAATCCAATGCAATGTTGTTGTTTTTTTACTCCAGTTAAAGTCCTGCCGTATCACAACATTAAATAAAGTAAAAGTATGAGGATGAAAAAGTGATATTAGGTATTTTAATGCTAACTTTTGTTATAAATGAACAAAACTTAAATGAGTACAGTTTTTGTGTTTTTATTTAGTATTATATTCTGCATTATTATATAATAATGCAGAGTATTTTATAATCTGATGTAAAACCTTTTCCAAAGTCGCTGGTAACTAGCCGTCAAATTCAATGCAACAGAGTAAAAACTCAAAAGTATAGCCTCAAATATTTCTGAATATGTCTGAAATCGAGTAAAGTGTAAATATAATATATAAAGTACAGTAATTTAAGTACCTCAGAATTGTTTTGTGTTATATAGCCTACATTAAAACACTAAACTAAAAGAGTCTTAATATGAAATAAGTCGAGCAAACCGTAGCTTGGAACCTGTAACAACTTAAGTGTTGTTGGGAAGTTATATCTTATTTATTAATTTGACATTTTAATGACTAAATGGCACGTAAAATAATCAAACTGATATAAAAGGTATGAACTCTGCCCCCCTGTTGAACGCTGCATGAGCTCAAACTCTTGTGTAAAACAAAGGCTTTAACAAAATTTTTTTTATTTATTATATGGAACAATAACGTAAGACCGCATCGTCATGATAAAATTCTGCTGAAAGCCTATATATGATATTATTGAATTACTGCCCAGCCCTGCATTGATTTCTCTACTCACAGTAAGCTCCAAGCCTGTAGAATACTAGCTCACAAATCTAGTTTGCATTTCCATTTAGAGTGAAAAGCACACCTGTCACATAAACTGTGGGTGCAGTGTTTAACTCCCCAAGACATTAAATATCAGCCCGTTTATATTGTTTGTTTGTTTCTGGTGTGTAATACTGTCACTAGGCTGTCCTGTTTGCATTCTGCAGCGCCTGTTCCTAATCGGTGTAATATCTTAATGATGGGATGCCTGAGTAGTATACTTTTAATGTTTGAATTTAAATGTCAGTATTATATTATGTTGTACATTTTTCATTGCTTTGAGCTAATGACTGCATGTAGGACAATGAGACTCATTGTCTGATGTTGCCGCGGCAACCAGGCAGCTCCTAGAGTGTTACATTGTGTCATTATCATCTGGGATGGAGGTGTTATAAGTTAACTGTGAGATTCTAGAATGGAACGCTGGAATAGAATAAATATTGGCACTACTTTCTAAACAATTCATTTACTTATGCTTTCTTATTAGCTCACTAATCCAGTAACATTTTATTTTACCGTCACCTGCTACACTTATATTTATTAATGTTTTAATGCTAGACAGTGACTGCATTATAAGAGAAGGAATAAACACCAGCCAAAGAGTTTTTCACAACCCAGCACTTGATCTTATTCATGGCTTCTAACTGATTATTTAATAACCATTAGTAATGCTCTTAGTTACTAATTAAGATTCCTTTCAAAGGGAATCTTCTGAGAAAGAGCTATGTAAAGCTGATAATAAGTATTTCAATGCTATATTAGGTCTAAATACACTTTCTAGAATTGTTACTGTGTAATTAAATGGACCTGCTTATATCTAGATATTTTGACTGTGGACAAATACTGTGAACCCCAATGATTTTTTTTTTTTAGATCTCAGCAATATCCATTATAAAAATACTCCCTTAAGTGTGATATTTTTCTCTCAGATGTAGTAGAAGTTGAAAGTAGCATAGTACAAGTAGAGTACTGCTTACAGTTTTTTTAAATCTAAAATATCCAGTTCTTGTATTTTATGAGTCGTTTCTGGTTGCTCAATCACTTTACTTCATTTGGGCTGTAAAGAAAGAAAGTAACACTTCCTGTTTCTTGCAGTTGCAGCTGGCAAGTAGGAAGTGTCTCCTTCCGCGATAGATGGCCACAATGGAGCTCAGATAACCCTTTCCTCTTTTCTTCACCAATCACGGCACTGGATCTAGTATAACCATGGGAATATGGCGTGGTCTACGAGTGGCGTTCGTCCTGGGGTCTTTGTTTATGATCCTGCTGATCATCGTCTACTGGGACGACGTTGGGGGCTTCAACCTCTACCCGCTGCGTGAGCACAAACCCCAGTCATTTCACACTGATTGTCGCTCCCAGGCGACTACTGGCCCTTCACGCTCTACGTCTACCAGCAGAGCCCATACCAGACCTTCCTTCATCGTTCCCACTACTGCCTCCAGTACAACACCGGCGGTCCCGGAGGAGACAGGAGGAGAAGCAGAGGAGGAGGAGAGGGACAAACAAGATAAGAGGAAAGAGGAAACAAGGCAGGATGCAGAGAAGGACAAGGGTCGCACTGCTGTGGACGATAGAGAACAGGAGGTGAGGAAGAACAGGATCACGGATATATGTTCAGGAAAGGAGGCTGTGGAATTCCCAGGAAGGACTCGGGCATTTGAGCAGATCCCCAACAGGGAACTGGATCACCTGATAGTAGATGACACACACCAGATTATCTACTGCTACGTTCCCAAGGTACAGCTGCTCTTTGTATTTGTGTGAACGTGTGTGAAAAAATAGCAAGAGGATAAAAAAATCATAGTTTTTCTTTATTTCTTCGTTCAAATTCACGTCTCTTATTGTTCTCCGTTCAGGTGGCGTGCACCAACTGGAAGAGGGTGATGGTGGTTCTGTCTCAGTCTCTGATCTCGCCCTCCTCAGGAAAACCTTACACTGACCCAGAGGCTGTACCTCCCGACCTTGTACACAACTCCTCTCTCCACCTCACTTTTGCCAAGTATGACACACACACACACACACGCTTTGTGAGGGGTGAGAAGCATTTTTTCTTTTTTTGCCCAAAATGCGTTTTTACTTAAAAAAAAAACTTCCAACTTTTTCTTTTCTTTCCCAAGGAGGTTTTCTTTGTTTGGGCTTTTTTTTTTCTTTGGGTTCTTCGGCAGGGTTTTCTTCCAATGGATTTCCCCTGTTTTTTTTTTTTGGGGGAGCCCTGTCCCTTGCCCTTTATTACTAATTTTTAAAAAAAAAAATTCGAACGTTTGCTTTTTTTTTTTTCATTTGGTCCCCGCCAATTTTCGATGTCGGTTCTGTTTTGTCGGGGTCATCCCCTCCTGTGTTTGTTTAGCGTGTCTTCAGAGTTTCAGGTATTATTTTGTGTCTTATGGAACCCTTGGCTAAAACCATCTACATTTCTTATCAAAACTTTGATTTTACAATCAAGCATATAAAAAATTACCTTCTTTATTCCTAATTATTGGTCTGTTTTATTAAGTTAAACTGTATTTGTTGTGTG